ATGGGAAACTATGGGAAATGGGGGGAAGACGAACATCAAGAAAATATTGGAAAATATATGGAATCCTCTTATTTGTGTGTATGTATTGAATCGCTTCGCTCATTCCGCCGGTCCGTGATATGGCATCGCTGGTTTTTGTCTGTGTGTTCGTTGCCCATGTTGCGCTCTTGGGGGCGGGTGTCGTTCGGACGCGTTGCGTGGGGAGTTTTGATGGTGAAGCAGTTCCCTGGGGGTCGTCTCTCGATGGGGCGAAATAGAGTCGTCGTCAAGATGCTTCTTTGGGGGGCCTCTTGGGGTCTGTTGAGAGGCCGTTCGGGGGCGCCTGGGAGACATGTTTGAAGCCTTCTGGGGCTTCTTTTGGGCCTCCTGGGAGTCTCCTGGGGCCTCTTGGCGACATCTTGGGGCCTCTTGGAGGCCTCTTGGGGCCTCTTTGGGACCTCCTGGGCGCCTTCTGGGACGGAGGGCTCCATTTTTGAGTTCTCGGTATCCCTCCTGAGTCCCTCTTGGGCCCGTCTTGGGGCCTCTTGGTCCGTCTTGGGCGGCACTTGGGCCGTCTTGAGGGCTCTCTTGGGTCGTTTCGGCGCCGTCTTGGGAGCTTCGTGGGCCGTCTTGGAGCGGTCTTGGGGGCCTCTTGGGCCGTCTTGGAGCGTCCGGAAGCCGAAAAAGCCAGAACACAAAAAACATCGAAAAAACAAATGAAAATCAACGATTTTGGCCTCTTGGGGCTCTCTTCGGAGGCCTCTTGGAAGGCTCTTGGGGCGTCTTGGAGGCCTCTTGGGCTGTCTTGGGGGCCTTTTGGGCCGTCTTGGGGTCATCTTCGGCGTCTTCGAGCGCTCTTTGGGCGTCTCGGGGGCCTCTTGGGCAGTCTTGGGGGCCTCTTGGGGCACTCTGAGCGCGCTCTGGGGAGCCTGAGAGGCCGCACCCAGAAGGAAAACCATCTCTGAGTAGACTTGGTCGGGCGTTGGTCGGGGTACTTTTCGCCGGGGGACCCCCAGGGGCCGCCCCGCGCGCGCGAACTAGAAATACTGTTAATACTGTTAACCAGTTACCGGAGATCTTAGCACGCCCTGGCCCGTTGGGCCGGCGAATTTGTGTGTCCCAGGGCCCCTTCACAAATGAGCTCCCGTTCGGGCTCGGCGCGCGAGCGGACGACAAAGTCCACTCTCGCCGCGGCGGCACGCACACTTCGCCCGGAAGTGGCGTTCCCGCCCTGGCGCGGCGCATAGCTGACACTCGCCAACTTATTTGGAGTGGCCCGCGCCAGTGAACGACTTGTTGCCCTGGCCCATGTTCCGCGCGCATTTGGCTCGGCAGTGGCGTTCCAGCACGGGCGCGGCGTATCAGTCGTTCCAGCACGGGCGCGGCTGATCATTCGTTGACCAAGCCGCATGAAACGATAACGGCAGCGGGGTCGCGCGAGAGTTAGCGAAATGCCGACCTCGCCCAAACGCCGCGCAGCTGGTCGGTGAAAGTGGCAATTCTGCCTCAGCGCGGCACCTGTTTTTTTGTTGCCGCGCTCATCGTAAGTTTTGCCGCTCCCGCCCGCGCGCGGCCAGCGTAGCGTCCTCTTCGCCAAATCGTTGGGAGCGGGGCCGCGCGCAAGCGCGTTCCATTTGCGAGGTGGGAGGACGTTCCAATCCCAATGCCAAGTTGTGCCACACATTGATTCCTGTGGCGGGGGAGTGGGCGAGAGCAAGCGACCCCCCCTGACTCGCTCGACCTGGCGAGCGCATGGCCCCAGCCTGCTCCTGCTTCTCGTGGCGGGAGTTGAACAGGGCGCGCGCAGCCCGCGCGAACGGCCGACGTGTCGCTGTCGCCTGTCGGCCGTGCTTACTCTTTCCAGAGAGCTAGCTGACCTCCCGGGGTCTGGCGCGGCGCGCTCCGCACGCAGTGCTCCCCGACGCGCGAGCGGACGAAGCTGCCAGCGCTCGCCCCGGGCGCCGAGCAGGTGTCGCCCGAGAGTGGCGGTGGCGCCACGGCGCGGCACGTACGCTTCATGTGCGGATTGGGGAGGCCCAGCGCGAGTGGGCGACTGGTCGCCCTTGTCCCTGTTCCATGCGCATTTGCTTCGGCAGCGGCGTCCAGCGCGGGCGCGGCTGATCATTCGTGCGCCGAGGCGCATGCAAGCGATGCCGGCCGCAGGGGCCGCGCGAGAGCGGCCTAATTAAGTGCTGATTTCCCCCAAACGCCGCGCAGCTCGTGAGCAAAAGTGGCAGAGCGGTGACAGCGTGGCGCATGCTTCGTTTCCGTCGCGTCCATCGGAAGTTCTGCCGCTTCCGCCCCCGCGCGGCCCGCGTGGCCTTCTCTTCGGCAGGTCGTCGGGAGCGGGGCGGCGCGCGAGCGCCTTCCGTTTGCCAGATGGGACCGCGTTCCATTTGCAATGGCAAGTTGTGCCACCCTTGATTTCAGGGTGCTGGAGGGAGGCTGGGAATAAGGGGGGCCCTCTGGCTCGCACACGACCTTGCTACCTTGGTTCTACTCCTAACGCCTTTGTTATTCGGCTCTACTTCTGCAGCACCCCACTTTACTATACCTCCCTCTGCCTTACCATACGCAATACTATTCCACCAGGCTTCACTCTAACGCCTCACCAGACTTCACTTTACCATCTCACCACCCACCAAACCATCCCAACCCAACCACAAGGCCCCAATCGGCTCTCCATTCCCAGAAGGGGGGGCTCGAGGAACATAAGAAAAAACACATGTGTGACCCGTACCCCCCCCCTCCCGAACCCGAAATTTCGGTCTACGGGTCAGGTTGGGGTGGTCTGGTAGGTAGCCACCATATACCCAAACATATGATACCCTACCATACACTGCCCTAACCTACACCAATTTATTATAGTCTGCTCTACTCTACTCTACTCGTCTACTCTACTGCTCTACTTTATTTTACTCTACCTCTAACGTTGGGGCGCCATTGGCATAGCAAAGGAACCCACTGGAATCGCAGAGGACGCCATGCGGATACAGAGGACGCCATGTGGATAGCAGGGGAAGTCATGCGGATACAGAGGGAACCATGCGCGTAGTTGGACGACTGCAGGGGCAACGTAGCAAGCCTGTCTGAACAACGGCGTAAACACATGACTAGCCGAAAACGTTGAGAAACCATTGGTTCTTCAACACGGCAGTTGTCAGAATTATGCGCGCGTGCATTCGCTGGCATCTTGAGGACACCACTGATCTTCAGGCACCCGGTCACATCAGACCATCTGAGGGCCGCTCCGTTCGCGCATGTCGAAAACGTTGGGCCACCGTCGCGCGCCCACCAGGTGTGTCGAGTAATACCACGGCGGCCGCACGCGCACGCGTCCGCGCGCGAGCGTCGAAATCATGCAAGGATGCCTTGATATCTGCGGCCGCACGCTTCCTCATCATCCTCACCAGCGCAATTCGATTTGATCATCGCCAGCGTCGTCATTGCCATCGTCATCATCACCGTCGTCGGGATCACCACCGCCGCCGTCATCGTCGACGCCGTTGCCCTCGTCAAAGGTCTGCGCGTGGGCACATCTTTATGATCATCGCCAAGACCATCGTGATCATCATCGCCAGGGTCATTGCTACCACCGTCGTTCTTGACACCATCTGTTTACTGTAACCGTCGTCGTCGCCGACATCGTATCGTCTCCATCTCCACTGTCATCGCCATCGGCATCAGCGTCATCACCATTGTCATCTCTATCGTCGTTGTCGTGGCGGTCGTCATCATCGCCACCACTATTTCGCAACCTCGAGCACTGACTGGTCTGGTCGGTTGAGTTCCACGCGCTCGTGATCTCTTTTCTCTAAGATCATGGCCATGTGAGCTTTGCCGACATAGGCTGCGGGTGGAAGGCTGGAATGCTTGCACGAGCAGTGGAGTTGACGGCTGCAAGAGTTGCGAACATCGATTGCCTCACATAGAATGCACCGCACGGGTTGCACATGTTGTTTGCATCACATTTTTAATCACATATACACGCATTTCGCCACATGTATGGCACAACCCAGTTTTCACCACATGTAGCGCACACTCAGAGTGCAGAGGCGCACTTGTTGCCGTCCACGCTGGCAGCCATTTTTCGAGTGTTGTATAGCATGTACCATCGCAAACGTCTTCGCATGTTATGTATCTGCCTCACACTTCTTCTCAGCATATGAGCCATCGTCATCAACCTATCCACATCAACTTCCCCCATCGCACTGCCCCCTGTCATCTTCATCACAATGAGGGGTCCGAGACGGGAGGGGGATCGCTCACCCTGCAATCATCCGCCATAACCCTCACCCCGGCTTGGGGCGCAGGGCCGAGGTGATCGGGCACGAGTGTTGGTCTCCATGCCAGGCGCAGATGCTAGCTGGATCGGTCGGGCACGAGCGAGATCTCACCCGCAGGGTGCCTCGGCGGACAACCGGTGTTGGCTCGCATGCCGAGTGTATTTTGACATGGGCGCGCAGGCGTCCAGGATGCACCCCCTGCCCTCTCTCTCTCTCTCTCTCTCCCCTCTCCCCTCGCGGAGCGCGCCGCGCCCCTGGCGATGCGGCCCGAGGGCGTGTTGACGCAGCCACCGCCCAGCGATTGCCGAAGTTGCGCTCCTGCCCCGCCGCAAGGGATAAACCACCACCTCTCGGCAGTGCGCACGGGGAGGCTGCGAGGGGGGGCAGGCCTTCACGGAAGGCGGCGGGGGCGTCCTGGGAGCGCTCGCGCCTGCTGAGAAGCCCTGTGCTGCCCTGGAGAGTGCCCATAAGGCCTTAGTTGCCTCGATCTGCCCGCCTTGAAACGCAAAACGCAGTGCGTTGCGTGTTGTGGCTCCACGTATTGGACCACGTTTTGGCGAATGTATCGCGTCGGACCTCCGTTTTCAGCCTACGTGTTGAGTTCCGTAATTATCTATACGATACGCGTTGCGTGTTGCGTATCGGGGCAGCTAAGCTCACAAGGCCTCTCAGAAGGCGCGAGGGCCTCTGAGAAACCCCGCCGCCTCCTGAGAAGGCCTGCCCCCGCTCGCTTCCGCCCTCGGCTCGCCGCCGAACTTCACCATGCAGGCAGACAGCGCAACACCACGGTCGATCGAGAGGACCGCAGGGCGCATCCTCGACGCGGTGACGAGCATCCCAGGGAGGAGGGGGAGGAGGAAGAAGAAGAGGAGGAGGAGGAGGAGGAAGAGGGGGGAGTAGGAGGAGGAGGATGAGGAGGATGAGGAGGAGGATGATGATGATGAGGAGGAGGAGGCGGAGGAGGAGGAGGGGGAGGAGGAGGAGGAGGACCAGTGAAAACCCAAGAGTCATCAACGATGTTGGAAGTAACCCTTCCTCCAAGCTCCCTCTTCATAAGCCCCTATAACGGTTCATTTCCATTGAGGGAATTGCCTCGTTGGAAGACAAGAGTGTGAAGATCCTGAAGCGTGCCAAAAGATGGCTCTCGTGATTTCAACGCCACGAATCAACATGACCCTCTTGACGATCCAGAATGCCAGAACGCCAATTTGGGGATTTCAACACAGCGCATCAACATAGTTGTTGCGCCCGCACATCTGGTACGTTGATCATGGGAGCCCGTGAAACTCATACAAAATTCTCAAATGAATGTGCGCGGCGCTAACACGAGAGCCACAGTTTGAAAACGAACCGCCCTCAATCCGTGAAGCTCTTGCAATGTTTCAAAACGAATGCGCGCGGCGCTAAGGCGAGAGCCACATTTTGAAAACGAACCGCCCTCAATCCGTGAAACTCTTGCCAATGTTTGAAACGACTGTGCGCGGCGCTAAGGCGAGAGCCACATTTTGAAAACGACCCGCCCTCAGCCCGCAAAACTCTTGCAATTGTTTCAAAACGAATGTGCGCAGCGCTACGGCGAGAGCCACATTTTGAAAGCGACCCGCCCTCCATCTGGGAAACTGTTGTCACTTTTTGAGCTTCAGAGTCATGAGTGGTGAGGTGAGAAAGTCTCAGGCGAAGCGCCCGGCCCGCCCTAAATTCTGGCTACGTGGTACGACAGGGAGGAGTTATTCATAAGGAGAAGGAATGGAGGAGGAGGAGGAGGAGGAGGAGGAGGAGGAGGAGGAGGAGGAGGAGGGAGGAGAGGGAGGGAGGAGGAGGGGGAGGGGCGTTTCCGAGTATCGGGTCCTTGAGCAATGTCAGATACAACTTCGTTAAAATCTTCAAGCCCGCGGGCGTCTGCCCCTGACCCGAACAATAATGACAGCAGCTTAGGCTCCAGCTCGCAAATCCCGAGAGGGCTGGAAACGTCTCCGGTGACTTACCCGCGCAGACCGCGCCCAAGAAGTACCGGGCTTCACAACATGGGCACGCCCGCGAGACAAAGAAAGCAACGCCGAGCATTGGCCTTCACAAAAGAAGAGAGCACTGGCTAGAGGTAAGCACGCACATTGCATCGAAGCTTGAAGCACATGTCTGGCAGGGTTGGCGGTGGCCCAGCATGAAACAACTCACAACCGCTGCTGCGTGAAACACGAGAAACAAAGTGAGTTGCCATTGTACCAACCCGACACGCCAGAGACCGTAGAAACCGCAACAACCATGGCGTGAATTGTTACACACATGACAGCAAAACCACCTCTTTGTGCTACATCTCTCAAGAGGTTGAATCAGCTTCGAGCTATCGGAGCTTTCGACCAGGCCGGTGTGCTGGACATGACTCTCTCAGGGGCTCCCTGACCAGCGCCCATACGATTCGTGGATGCATGAGGCTAGGAGGCCGTTCCCGAGACTCCGAGGGCCCACTCCAAATCCGACTCCGGGGCTGGACCCCGCTCTCCCCCTCCCCTTTCCGCCGCGCCCCGTAGCTGATGAGTATGAAGTAGACGCTGAAGAGATGCCGGAAGAGACATCACGCGTTGGTGCGGACCTTGAACAGTCGGCCTTTGAATGCTGTTTGTGTGATGAGGGGCCCTTGCTTGTGCCGAATTTGGTTTGGAATTTCCCCAGCTGCCCTCAGGTGCGGGGTTCCCCAGGAGACCCTCCTCCAACAACTCTGGCCTTGTCTTTTTAGGATGATCGGATTTCAGGCTTTTGTGCCGCCTCATAGAGAGAGATACTAAGAGAGCGAGAGAAAGAGAGAGAGAGAGGGAAGAGAAAAGGAAGAGAGAGCGAGAGAGAGAAAATGAGAGAGCGGAGTCGGAATCAGCGGACGCCTCTCCTTTTCGGTTTCGTTGCTAGGCGCCCCGACCTATCAGCGTGCCCTTGTTCCGATCCAGGGATCGGACATAAGCAGCCGACAGCTCAGAGGTGGAACCTTCTCCAGCTCGACGGTGGGTGCCTGATGGGATCGGACGGGGCGGGGGGAAGGAAAGCTCTGACCTTCGGCTTCGGCGTGGCGGCCGGGGCTCTGTGATGCTCAGAGGAGGCCAGAACCTGGCTGGGGGGCTGGGGCCCCTCGCTCGTGGTATGCAAAGGGTCCCAGCAGCAGAACGGTTGGTGATCGCTCGAGCAGTCCAATCGACGGCTGGACCGATCGAGTGTGTCATACATAGCTGCTGGCGTCGGAAGAGGTATCCAATCTGGTCCAGGCTTAAGCGCAGGAAGATGATGGCCACGTGGCGAGCTTCCTGGGCAGTGGTAGGTTCTCGGCCAACCACTGTCCACAACAATTGGGTCGCAACTGCCCCTGGGGCAGGGGGTGGAGGAGGGGAGGGATTTGGGAGGGAGGGGGGGGAGGAGGAGGAGGAGGAGGAGGAGGAGGAGGAGGCGGAGGAGGGCGGGCTCTTGGAGGACCGCCGGGCGCATCCTGGACGCGATGACAAGCCGGGAGTTCGGGGATCCCCGGTCTGCGGGCCCCAAGATCCTGGGCGAGCGGGGCGGCTCGGAGCCCATCGCCGGCGCGGACAACTTCGACGCCCGCCGCCTGGAGAACGCCGTGTGGCGCATGTGGCGCAAGGCTCGAGGCAGAAAGACCGGTGCGGCAGGCTCGCGTCGTGCCGACCAGCGGCGACCCCCCCGCCGGCGTTCACTGTTGAACGCCGCTGGCGACCCAAGATCGGTCGTTGCTGAACGATCCGATGTGTCGGAAACGGCAAGTCTCGCAAGGTTGAACGATCCCCGCGGTGTTCAGAGCAGGAACATGTACCCATACTACTACCCTCGCCTCGTTTTCGCCTTCTTGGGCCTCCTGCGAGGCCCTCGTCGCGACCGCATTCGCTTCGAACTTCTGGCCAGAACGCACCCCAGGAGAGGGTCGTGGTGTAGCGGTATCGGTACTTGTTGGCGTCGCCAATGAAACGTCTTGGTTGCCGATCGGCCTACCAGTTCGTATTCTAAGAACCGTTTGTAACTTGCACGTTCATGGGACATGTCTTGTTCAGACCGTAGTGTTTTAACACATTGGCTTCATGTTTTAAAAGGGGCTTCTGTTATTAGAACATGCTTGGTTCTAGGAACATGTCGTGGTAGACCTATAGGACTGCAGGGAGGGTCGGTCCCTGCTCAAACGTTCTGACCATGAGTTCCCTGAGCTCCGCACGGACTTGTTTCAGATTTGGTCTCACGCGCAGAGGAAAAGAGGCTACTCGTTTCGGCCCTGAGGGGCTTTTCGAGCCAAATCGCCTGCTGTGCAGCATCGAGCGAGCATCGTCGACGATGGGACTGGAGGCGGAGCGGATAGATGCAGTGCACAGTGGGGGTTCAAACAAAACCCTGTCCCACCCACCCTGCCGGCCGATCGGGGCCAACTGTACACGCGAAGTAATTTCCAGCGCCGATCCGCGGGATCCGCGCGGGCCTCCGCAAGTTTGTGTGTCCACGCCGCCTGTTCCCCTGCAGGAGCGCTCTCAGTCCGACCTGTCCCAGGGGTCGTCGCCCACGAGCGACGTCGGCGAGATGGACGACGATTTTCTGGTCAAGGCCAGCGCGGCGCGCCGAAGCGGGGCGGGGTCGGCGGGGGTCGCGGCCCTCCGAGGAGGCAGCCCGCCCCTGCCCGGAGGCCCAGGGCCCAGGGGGGGCCTTCCAGAGCACGCTCGTCTTGAAACGCAACAAGTGTCGTGTTCACAACGTCCGTGTCTCAGGAGGGGAGGAAACACACAGACACAATTGATCGCTGGCCCCCAGGAAAATATGGGAAGTGGGGGGGGAAGACAAAGACCCAGAAAGTATGGAAACGTATGGGGAATCTGTTGATTTATGTGCATTTGTTTGTGCGTCCTGGGGCCCCTTCAGTGTCAACACGCTGCAGGTTGGCTCGGCACGTGTTGGCCCACGTTCTGGCGAACTTTTTTGATCCGCGGGTCGAGAGCGCACCTCTTCCGGTCGAAGCTAAGCGGGCCGCGCGAAGCTTGAATTAAAAGGAGGGGGAGGACGGGGGGAGGGCGCAGCCTCAGAGCGAGGCCGGGGAGGCAAAGTCTCGGGATCGTTCTGGCGAACACACCGCGCCAGATCTACGCGTTGAGATCCGTGTCAGCACCGCCACGGACTGCGTGTCACGTAGCGGGGCGGCTGAGCCCAGAGGCCTCTTGGCGCAGGAGGCCCCCCAGGGAGAAGCGCAGGGCGCCCCTGATGACCCTGACGCCCTCGCGTCGCGAACAACATCTCGACGGCCGTCGAGAAACTACCCCGGATGAAGGGCAGGCCCCCGGGAAGAGGTGCAGACCTCTGGGAGCCACATTGTGAACAAATCCAGGCCTCCTAGATGGGGTCGGAGTAGATCGGGTCGAAGGATGCGCCGCATCGCCGATGCATCGCCGATGCATTGCCGATGCGGCTCGATGTGGAGCCCGATTTGCTCACTTCGACGTCGCCCATGCACCGCCCACGTCGACGAGGCATCGCTGGTGCGTCGCCGACGCATCGTCGATACATCGCTGATGCATCGGCGGTGCGGCGCGATCCTCCGACCCATCTACTCCGACCCTATCTAGGAGGCCTCTAACAAACCACGACGTCAGATGTCTGGGGATCCCCCTGCCTGTTGAGAGTGCCGCACCCCCCCTCCCCCCCAAACTGCCCTACCCCCGCCGCGCGCCGCGCACGAGGTGCAGAACACCATCGGTCACCGCATCAATTTCCCGGACATCCGTTACCCGCAGTCGGGCCTGCAGTGCGAGTACGACGACCTGCCCACGTTTCCGATCCGCCCCAACTTCGCGAACTTCAAGACCCAGCTGAGGCCGGGCTCCGAGTGCGTCGTCTTCGACGGGTGCCCCGACGACCCGTACCATCCCTCGAACACGCCCATCTACCAGACGGCCACCTTTGTGCAGCCGTCCGCGAGCGAGTTTGGGGCCTACGACTACACGAGGTCGGGCAACCCAACCCGGACCGCGCTGGAGAAGCACGTCGCGATGCTTGAGCAGGCTGCCGCGGCGTTCGCCTTCGCGTCGGGCATGGCGGCCCTGCACACCGTCACGAGGCCTGCGGTCGCCTGGCCGTCGCAAGCGCCAGGGGGCAGCCTGGCGCCGGCGAGCACTCACTGTGCCAGCGCCGATCCTGGCCAGGCCGATCCAGGGCCCAGGGAATTCTGCGTATGCGCCCTCCTGGGCCAGCCAGTAGGTCTTACGAGCGCGCTGGCACTGCGCCCAGCAGGGACCTGGCAAGGATCGGCGAGGACGCACGGTTGGCGCCCTCCTGTGGGGAGCGGTCCGACGGCCCTCGCCCCCTGGAGCGTATGAGAGAGAGCGCCGCACCAGGGAAATCCGCGCGGGCCTCCCGACGTCTGTGATCATGCAAACTGTTGACACGTTGTGCAAGGTATTCGGTGCGACCTATATCGTGCAATCGATGCGGAGCAATAAGCGCATTGCAATCTATGTGTGGTGCAACGCACGCTGTGCAATATATGTGAGGCAAACAACGTAGCGCAATCTACGTGGTGCGATCGATGCTGTGGATATATGCGGTGCAACCGCTGTCGACCAACATAATTGTACGATCTGTATTGTCCAATCTATGTAGTACAATATTTGTGGTGGAATCACTGTGGTGCAAATTATGTGGTGCAATCAATTTTGAAACGCACGGAGTTGTCAACTCCACTGTTCGCGCAATCATCCCAGCCACCCTCCCGCAACTTGGTTTGCAAAACCCATGCGGCGCATTGCCCTGAGTGCTTGGTGTTGGCCACTGCATCTCTATGGCCACGCTAGCCGGCGCACGCTCGCGCGCACAGCGGCCAGCTAGTTTTGCGTGACCGACGCGGAATCGGTGGCGCTGACTGTTGCGCATTTCCCATCGGGCACTTCAGTGCGAGTCGATAACTTGGGCGGGCGCGGTAAACGTCGACAACGGTAGACAAGATGATGATAGTAGCTATGATGGTGACGATAATGACGACGACGACGACGACGGCCAAACCATTGACGGCGCCGATGCTGATCACGCCGATGGCGATGACGGTGACCCTGCGTCGGTGTGCAAGGTTTTGGAAGCATTTCGACATGCGCGCGCGGCCGACGCGCGCGACTGTCCCGCATGGTCTTATTTGACAGGCCGTGCCCCTCCAGCGCGCGCGCAGGGGCGTTCGAATGATACCGACACGCGGCGGGAAAAGGCCCCGTTGGTCGAACTTGAAGAAGGTGTTGAAAACACATGGTATTTTTAAGAAATCGCACAAGCGCGCAGTTTTTTACATGAAAGCTCCTGTTGCGACCCAATATGTTTTTTCTTTTTAAAGGAAAGAGATTATTTCGGGACGCTCGATTTCGAATTCAATACGACCTCTGATATTTTGGCGGGATCCCGGCATGTGCGCGCGACGACGCGCGCGCCTTGTTCTTCGTCCCATATATTGCAAGGGCGTTTCGCGACAGCACGCGCGCCAGGGCGTTCGAATGATTTCGACATGCGCGCGCGAGAGGCACGCTTGTTAGCATGCGATGGGAATGTGGGAAAACGTATGGTGCCCCCAAGAATTTGAAAACATGCGAGCGCAGACTGTTCTGAAATTTCCAGATGCGACACCATGAGAAATCATAACAGAACGCTTGGCTTTGGAGTCTCTATGAGAATGTCGGTTTTTGGCCATCGGGCGCGACAGCGCGCTCGTGTGCGCCTCGTCCCATTTGTTGCGAAGGGCTTTCATAAACTATTCATGATACCGGAGAAAAGAAAAACCAATCAGGGCTAGGGGGCTATAGGGCTATTGAACTATAGGGCTCTAGAGCTATAGGTTGGGATGGTATTGTACTCGCGATGGACGATTGGGGCAGAATCGCACGTAAGGTACAATCTCACAAGGCGTACTGTGAACCCTGGGGGGAAGTCGATTCTCACAGTTTTTAGAAAGGATAATCCATGTGGTGCAGTCTGTGTTGCGCTACTGTTCTGGTAACTTTGGAGTTGTCAAGTCCGCTGCTCGCGCAATCATCCCACCCACCCACATCAACTTGGTTTGCATGATGCGTGCGGCGGCGATTGCTCTGAGTGCTTGGTGTTGGCTGGTGCATCTCTGCGGCCGCGCTAGCCCACGCATGCTCGCGCGCTCAGCGGCCAGCTAGTTTTGCGCGACCGACGCCAAATCGGTGGCGCTGACTGTCGGGCACTTCCCAGCGGGCACTTCAGTGCGAGTCGGTGATTTGGGCGGGCGCGGTATCAGATCGACGTCGACAACCGCAGACAAGATGATGGTAGCAGCGGGGATGGACACCATGATGACGACGACGACGGCAAGGCCAATGACGGCGCCGATGATGATCACGCCGATGACGATGACGGTGTCCTCTCGCTGGTGATTACGGTTTTGGAATTATTTCGACATGCGCGCGCGGCCGACGCGCGCGAACGGCCCGCGTGGTATTATGTTACGGATATCGTGCCCGCCGCGCACGCGCGCAACGGGCGTTCGAATGACAGCGATATGCCCGCTTGGTCGACTTTGATAAACATGTTGGAACACGTATGGCTGTCTTAAGAACCCGTAGAAGCGCGCAGACTTGTCTTTCTTTGGAAATTGACGTCGCAAGCCCATGCGTTTTCAGATGTTGTCTGGGCATTCGAATGAGAATTCCAATACGACATCCAAGAATGTGGAATAATTCCGACATGCGCCCGCGACGATGTTCGCGTGGCTCTCCGTTTTTCGTTTCATATGTGGCAACGGCGTCATATGACAGCGTGTGCGTGCGAGGGCAAATTTCGTAGCGTTTGATGGACAGGTGGGAAGACGTATTGTTTCCCCTAGAAGTTGCAATAGCGCGAGCGCAAACTGTTTTCAAGTATCCGGTTGCGACACCATTGGTATCAATATGTGGCAGGGCCAGTTCATTCTGACATCTCTACATACATAGCGGTTTTTTGAAAGGTTCCAGCACTCGCGCGCGACGACGCGCGCGTGCGCACGTCGTCCCATGTGTTGCAAGTGTTGTTTGGAAACCGGTGAGTTTCATAAACGAACGCGCGCACATACCAATTTCCCGAAGGGGTAAAGGAGGGACAGGCAAGGGACTGCCCAGGAATGTATGAACTTATATACACTGCGATGCGAAAAAAACGGTACCGTTAAGTGTTGGGGGGGGGGTATATCGTCATTTGTTAAAAATGACCTATGGTGTGCATCGGTTATAACATCAAAGCAACATGTGCGCGATCCACCTTACGCAATGTATGTAATGCAATCTACGTGGTGCGCAAGAGGGATGGCAACGGGGCGGCGGCGATGGGCGGCGACGGCGGTAACAGGCGCGGCGACCGACAACAACCACGCCAAGAATCCGTGGCGACGGACGGCGGCAACGGGCGGCGACGGTGGCAACGAGCGCGGCGACCGACACCCAGGCCATGAAGTGGCGGCGACGGACGGCGGCGATTGGCGGCGACGGCGGTAACAGGCGCGGCGACCGACACCCAGGCCCAGAGGCAGCGGCGACGGACGGACGGCGACGGGCGGCGACGGCGGCACCATAGCTGCCAGGCCAACATCCAGGCCCACTTCCCCAGACCAGAAGCAAAAACTCGTAACTGCAAGCCTTGCTTCGAGAATTCTAGACTTAACGTCGCGCGCGGGAGATATATCTATACTTGCGGCCTCGCGGGCCTGACCCCTGGACCAGCCGCGACCCCACGGGTACGGGGCGTTTTTTTCACGGATGCCCCGCGCAGAACTTATCCGCGGGACCGCGTCCCAGACCACAGACCGCGAGGGCGTGGACACGAAAACGCGCATCGCTCGTGGTAATGCTCCCCTGTCCACTTCGTCGCAGTACGCACCCCATCGCATGGCCGAGCAGACACAAGGCGTCCATCCTGGGCGCGCGTGTTGCCCCCGCGACGGCCAGACAACCGCCGCGGCGAGGCTGCTGCGCATGGGCGACGAGGTGCAGCGCAGCGAGGACGAGGAGGAGGAGGAGGAGGAGGAGGAGGTGGAGGAGCAGGAGGAAGGCGACGACAACGGTATTGACGACGACGATGACGATGTCGAAGGCGACGTTGACGACGACGGCGTCGTCTTCCTTGTCGTCGTCGTATTGCAGGGCCTGCGAGGGCCCGACGGACCGCCAGAACTCGATCCAGGATGAAAATGTGGGTCCGGATGGGCCCCAAAAGGGATTTCGCGACTGATTGTGAGCTAGATCGAAGGGTGGAGGGGAATAAGGAGAAGGAGGAGGAGGAGGATGAGGAGGAGGGGGAACGGGAGGGAGAGGAAAAGGAAGATCCGAAGTTTTCGGTTGTTTGTTGGCCTTTTCTGGGACTCCTGGGGGAGATCTCGTCACCTCAGCTGGAATGCATCCCTGGACAGGTCCTTGTTCTGCTTTTTGCCCCCCCAGCCAACATCGTACGACGACATCGTCGACGTCTGCGATTCCCAGGTGTTTGAGCGTTTCTATTTCTCGTCCCCACGGTTGGGCGCAGCTCGAGAAACCGACAGAGGCAGACCACGGGTTGGGTCCAGAGACTGATTTTGAGCGGACTTTGGTCGGCGACAACGGAGACGGGTGGGAGAGAGAGAGAGAGAGAACAACAAAAAAAAAAACGGGCGAGAATGAGGGATGGGTGAGATGGGACGGAGGGACAAGGGAATGGAGGGGCGGAGAGATGGAGATACGAGTGAGCGTTGACGTGGAGCAACGGGGGCATGGAGGGACGGAGGGGGGAGGGATGATTGGAGTTTCCCACAGAATGGGAGTGAGAAGGAGTAGGGAGGGATGCGGGGAGGAAGGAGGAACGCAAGGAGTGAGGGTGACGAGAAAGGACGAGGGAGCGGAACGGGGCCTGGGGTGAGGAGGAGGAGCAGCAGGATGCAGGCGAGGTGGCTGGAGGAAGCATGGATGTCAGGGGAAGGAGGGGGATAATGAGGAAGAGGAGGAAGAGGAGGGGGAGTAGGAGAGCAGGCAGGCAGGTGGAGGGAGCAGGTCGGCCGGTCGGGTAAGGCCTTACAGCAGTTTGCGTGTCGGGTCAGGCGAAAAGGAGGGGGCAGGGAGGGGGATGGATACATGTTTATTCA